TATATGACATGTTTAACTTTCTTTAATAATCAAATCTATCACTCAGCATGGATTACTGCATGCTGTACCAGACCAACAGTGGACAAAATAGCCAAGGTCCCTGCCCTCCTGAAGCTTGTGTCCTGGTGGACAAATCCCTGTAGATTTGTCTTTCTCAAGCTTTAATGTGCATATACATCATTGGAAAATTTGATTTAAATGTGGATACAGACTCATTACACCTGGGGTTGGTTCTGGGGTCTGCTGGTCCAGAACATCACTTTGAGTAGCAAGGAACTAGGTAACTAATGTGTTAACCTCCCAAGCAACATGACAGCTTAGCTAAATGAAAAAACTCTACTTCTTAAGAGAAGAACCCTTAAGGACTAACAAGACTGGGAATTTCAGTTTATTTTGTTCATTAGATTCCACATATAAGTGAGATCTGTGATATTTGTCTTTCTCTGACTGGCATATTTATATCCAACCAGCATATGTATTATAAAACAAAAGAATCAAGGTGTTGTTGTTTTTAATAACAAAATAAACTGATGAGTAAATAGGTCCAGAGACATGGAAGCATGGAATAGACTGACAGATCTCAGAGGGAAGGGGGAACAAAAGAGGGGGTGTGGGAAGAGATTAACCAAAGAATTTATATGCATATATTCATAATTCATGGATACAGACAATAGTGCAGTGAAGGCCTGGAAAAGGGGCAGGAGCAAGGAGAAGGGGGTCACGAGGGAGTGGGGGGATGGACATCTGTAATACTTTCAACAATAAGGATAAATAAATAAATAAAAAGACGGAACTTCAGACAGCTGGTGGTGGAAGAGGAGACTCCAGGGGAGAGTCCTTCCTGGTCTCTGCCCTAGCTTCTGTGATGGCAACCTTTGGCATCACTTGGCTTGTAACTGCATCATTCCAATCTCTGCCTCCATTGTCACATGGCCTTCTCCTCTGTGTGTCTTTTCTGAGTATCTGAGTGTCCTTTTCTCTTATAAAGGACATCAATAATTGGATTTAGGGCTCATCCTAATTGAGGGTGACCTCATCTTAAGTAATTACATCCACAATGATTATATTTCCAAATAACATCCCATTCTTAGAAGACTTTAGTGGGAACACTATTTGACCCTACTGCACTAACACACAAAACAAACAAATAAACCAACCTTCGGCTTGCTACATTGAGAGTAATCTCCTTCCTCCATTCAGGTCTATATACCCTCCTGCTGTCCATGGACCAGTAGCATCAGCATCCCCCGGAGGTCTGAGGAATGCAGACTCTAGGTTCCCGTACCAAAATTGAATCTGACTCGTGCCAAGATCCCTGGGAAATTCACATTCACATTAAAGGTTAAGAAGCACTGGCAAATACAGACTTCTGTTTCAGCAATAACATTACCAGCAGCTGCCTACAGTGGGGTTTCTCTTCTGAGGCACCACTGTTTTTCATTAGCTTTAGGGTCTGAGATTTCCCCCAAAAGTGGGAAAAGGCCATTGTTTTATGCAGTAAGAAGAATGCTTGGTAACTTAAGCTAAGTTTATCACAAGAAAATGTTTCCAGGCTGTGTAGTATTTGGTCCCCAGGATTTTCTTCTGCCCTGCCCCTGTCTCTGAGCTCACCCAGTCAGCTCAGAGCTTCCAGTCTGTGAATTGGGCACCGTCTTCCAGCAGCACCAAACAGAGGAGGCTGTTATTCTAGAAATACCGCCTGGAAACTTTGTTAAAACAAGAGCTCAAAAGCAAGCTTTGTCTCTTCTAGCCACTTCTTATTTCCTTTAAATCACACACTTCTGTACAGCATTTAAGATGAAATGACATCACCAAAGCCTGTACTAATAGACACGTTTTCCAGGAAATGGACACGCATATTCAGTGACTTGTCATGTCCCTAGAATGGTCTTGGCACTTTAAGGAGCCATCACACTAAACAGTGTCAGAGGTGACACACGAACTCATTTTTTTGGTTGGTTTTTCTTTGTTAAATGGTATTTAAATATATAAAATAAATATCAAAAATATAAGTCTTTGTTTTACTATGGTTGCAAATATCAAACAATTTCTATATGTGACACGGCACCAGAGTTAAGTTAGGGTTTTTCAAAATGCTGACACGCCGAGCTCTAAAGGTCCGCCATCACTGGTCTAAGAGGCAGGTGCTCCTGTTTATATTTCACATGTGAGAAAGCTGAGGCTCAGAAAGCTGTGGTGACTGGCTCACGGGCACACAGAAGATTAGTGGTTGAATTAGAACTCACCCCATGTCTGGTTTTGAGGTCTGATTTCCTCTCCCTCCATTGAAGTGCCTCTACCCATAGGACTAGATCTTGTTTCTAAAGCTGTATCATTGGTCCCAACTATTCTACACAAGCAAAATTGCATTCCAAGCTGGTCCTTGGCAAAACTAAGGAATGGCACAAAGTTTGTCTGTGACTACTCTCCAACCCCAAAGCAAGCTTTTTTGCTTAACTCTACAAACTTCCAACCAGCTAGTGGTTTTGTCCGTTCCCTGCTACCTTTTCCAATTGCCTTCATGGGATGTTCATCTGAGACTGTCTTCTTCTCAGCATTTCATATTTAATTTCTCCCACCACACTCTCCTTTAGTGACAGCTTACTTGCCAATTCTGTCATGTTTTAACAATTAGCAATACCCTCTATGCCAAATTACTGATTTGTAAGTTACTTCCTTAACTTGTTACCTCTTATAGTTTGACGCTTTTATTTTTTATCTGTTGTTGTTGTTACTCCTCACCCAAGGATATTTTTTCCACTGATTTTTAGAGAGAGTGGAAGAGACAGAGAGGGAACAGGTGAGAGAGGAAAACATCGATGTGAGAGCAACATATCAACTGGTTGCCTTCCAAATGCACGCTGACCAGGGCCAGGGACAGAACCACAATCCAGGTATGTGCCCTTAACTGGGAATTGAACCCGAGACCCTTCAGTGCATGGGCTGATGCTCTAACTGCTGAGCCCCACTGACCAGGGTAGGTTTAACTCTTAGAAAACAATAAAGTACCCATGAATTACTTGATTAATTAATAATACATCTTAAAGAACACAGTGTAAAGGATTACAAATGTGTAATTTTTGGTCCTGTTTCCAGGAGAGTGAGTCCTTTGCTGTCCCTCAAATCCCATCCACAGGTGGGCATCTACTTTGTTCATACATTTGGCTGGCTTGAGCCTTTAATAGCACAGAACACATTTTTACGCTTTAGAAACTTGGAGGTGGAGATTTTTTTTTTTTTTATTGACTGCAGAGAGGAAGGGAGAGGGAGAGAGAGAAATAGAAACATCAGTGATGAGAGAGAATCATCGATCGGCTGCCTCCTGCACACTCCACACTGGGGATCAAGCCCGCAACCTGGGCATGTGCCCCTGACTGGAATCGAATCTGTTGGTGTAGAGCAGTGGTTCTGAACCTTGGCTGCACATTAGAATCACCTGGGAATCTTTTTAAAAGCATGATTTCTGGGCCTCAACCTCCGGAAATTCTGTTTCTTTGTTACTAATGTTGTAGCCCCACCCCATAACAAAGAAACAGAATTTCCGGAAGATGAGACCCAGAAATCAGGATTTTTAAAAGTTTCCCAGGTGATTCTAATGTGCAGCCAAGGTTGAGAACCACTGCACTAAGCCAAACTGGCTAGGGCAAGAGATATTCTTCTTTCTAGGAAACCCCAACATCTGGTAACCCATCTAGTCACAACGATCATGATTCTATCTAACTCATCCAGCTGTATGTCCTAGTATTGACATTCAGTCTTCTTAAAGTACAAAACACATCTCATTTTCAATTGTGCAGCTGCACAGGGAGAAGTACATTGTTGTTACTAAGAGCAAAGCCCAGAATCCAATTTGGAAACCTTGACTTTCATAATGTTTTCAAATCATCTAATCAAGCCTTCTTTCTTTTACCCATGTTTCCTTTCTCGCCTCTCTACTTCTCTCTTTGTACAGTATGTCTTAATACAAGAAAAAACAAACTTTCAAATGCAAAAAGAAAAATGGATGGTAATTATTATAAATGTTTCATTAGAACTAAGGCCAATCTGCTTATTTGAACATATAAAGAATTTTCTCTCTTCTGAAATACTCCACTGCACAAATAAGAGTGTATTCAGATATAATTTCACATGATTACCCTGTGTTAGGAGCTCCTAACCATAACTCTCCAGCAGGTGTTATTACCACATAAACAAACTGCCTCCAAGTAAATCCTGTCCTCCAAATCTTTATTTTTCATTTCACAAAGATTCTGTTTTGCAGGCAAACTCTGGGAATGTTGTCCCCCTATTAAATAGCAGGAAAGGGAAATTTGAAGGTAGGAGAGACCTGAAAGAATCTTTGCCACAAAAATTTGTCTCAAAATACATTTGTCTCAAATGTATTTCCTCCCTGAGCAAAAACTACATAGCAGGTCAGAAAAACCCATGCAGTAAAAGGCAAAATTAAATAGTAAACTATAAAAGCAGAAACATTAAGTTGCTGTTATGAACTTATTTCACAGCTAAATTAACCAATGAATGTTTTTTTAACAACACTGAAGGGAGGACAGCCAAGTTCAAGAAGACTGGTCTTAAACTTAGTTTTATTTGTCATTTACTCCTAGAGCAGAGATTCTGACACTGAAACCTTGGAGCCTCGGGGATCTGAGAATTCTCAGAAATTCGGGGTGTCCTTGTATATGTGGGCTTTTTTTTTCTGAGAGATGATCTATAGTTTCCGTCAGATTTTCAAAGGGATATAATCTAAGAATCACTATTCTTAGAGGATTCTTTAAGGAATATGGAAAAGTTGTATACAATGATATCAGATAAAGCCTGATGTTTATGAGATCAAAGATATGCATTTGAGTTATTTTTCTCTGAAAGACAATCAGATCAGGCCTGCCTATATAGTTGCAGCAAAACCAGTCAGGGAAATTAGAGTATAGCTGAGAATATAATTTAGACAGGCCCATTGTATGAAATACGGTAATACTCAATGCTATAACATCATCATCACCTCAGTAGCTTAACAAAATAAAAGTTTACTTCTCATTCACACGAAGTCTGATTCCTGGTCAATAGCAGCCTTCCATGTGATCATTCAGGGATCCAGGCTCCTTGTAGCCTATGACTCTGTCTTCTTTTATAGCTTTGAAGTCCTCTGTTAGAATTTCAATATCTTGCCAGTAGATAGGAGAAGAAAGAGAAAGTATGGAGGATTACATGAGGGTTGGACATCTTTTCTACCCACACTCCTTCAATTAAAATTCAGTCACATGGCCTAACCTAATTGTAAGGGAGGGTGAAATGTAGTCTAACTGCATTCTCAGGGTGTAAAAGAAATGACTTTTGGTGAACACCTAGCATTTCTGCCCTATCCTCTCAAATGAAACAACAGGACCAGGAAAAGTTTGGAGAACAGGAAGACATGCCGCTTTAGATACTAAAAGAAAATCCAATGTCATAGGAAGACCAACATATTCCACAGAAAACAGGCTAGAAAACAGTGGAAGAAGCAGTTTTACAGGAGGTAGGAAAGTGTCTAGACTAGAGTAAGGAACAGAGTGACCTAAAACATATGAGCAAAAATGCTTAGAATTTTAGGCATGGAGGTAGGAGGAATTTGGGAATTTAGTGATCAATAGTAGAGCCCAAGTCACCAAATAGTATTTAGGAAGATGTGGGGTTAGGAGTGGCAATAAGAGTAGGATCAGGCAAGAGCAAGAGTGAAATAATCAAGAGATAGGAAGACTACAGAGAGGGGGCCTAGGCACAGCGTAGGGAGTCAAGACCATCTATTTGTGAGGTGACTCCTTGATGACCAGCATGTTGGGCAAGAGCTGTTTCAATGTCTCCTGTCCAAGGTCAGGACTGACCCTGGAGTGGTGCAGAGCCTCCAGATAGGGGTCAGCTGTGAAAGAGGCTCTGGAGGCCTGATAGGGCCTGACAAGACCCATCCTCAAATGTTCCCAGGAATCTTACTTTGCTTCTCCATCACAGGCAGCAACCCTGACCAACCCTACCTTCCTCACAAATTGTTCTGGGATGAAAAGGAACAACTGAGTCACTACAAACCCTTCAGGGCACAAAGCAAATGCCCCACTAAGAGTATGGAGAACCTGGGATAGCATATTTGCTTAGAAGAAATAATAAAAATAACTGCTCATATGTGCAAGACATGGTTCTTGGGCTTTAGATATATTTATCCATTAATCTTAACAAAAATCTTTATTTGAAGGATATGTCTTTATTACCTCAATTTATAGACTAAAAACTGAGCAACAGTCACTTATAAGTGACTTGCTCAAGTAAGAGTCAGAGCTGGGGTTCAAAAAGATCTGCCTCCAGAGTCAATAACCTCAACCACGATGGATACTGCCTTTCTTAGAAAGTCAAATTTGGCCCAAATTTCATATAATGTTTCACCTGATTAATGGAGGTGGCATTGAAGACACATCCTTTAATTTAAGTCTCCCCAGAAATCTCATCTACCGTTTTCTTTCCATAAAGTTGCCTCATCCTTTGGAATGAAGACAAGTTGTGGATCTCCCAAGAATGAGTCATGGACAGTTCCCTGGAGTGGCCACTTTCTCAAAGAATGCACACTATTAGGCAATAACAAGCTTTGAAATAAAATATGTGGCATATGAATGACCACAGTATGTCAAAGTTAGAAGGAAGCTTGGGGACCACAGTCCCACCGTTTTAGTACAGAGAAGCTAGTAGCTTTCAAAATGTCCCTTAGGAATAAGAGCAGATTGTCCTAACTTACACAGTAAAATACTTGCCTCCTTACCTCAGAACATTTTCTCTATGCAGCATAAGGGGATCATGAGGGTTAAAAGTCAGAAACTTTTAACAGTGATATAAGTGACTGCATGGATTCTTAGGTTGCTAGCAGGACTGTGAAAAAGATAAAAGGGTTCAACTTCATGAATTTGTTTTCTATGAAATAAGGAATCCAACATCTTATATAACTAATCAGGAGTTGTATATCCATCCATTCAAGCATTTATTCTATCACCCCAGGCTTTGCCCCAGCATTTATCCATCCATCCTTGCACGTATTCATTCATCCCAACCTTTATCCCAGCTTTATTCATCCATCCATCCACCCATCCACTCAACCACCCATGCAGGTATTTATTCATTCATTTGCACAAGTTTTCACTCATTACAAAATATCTACTGAGCCAAAAGTTGTGCTAAATCCTGGGTTTGCTTTATTTTCTAAAGCAATTGCAATCAATGTTTTTCTTTCTGTTTTTCAGATTTCAGGATATGGGATTCCAGTACTTTCCATTATAAAATGAACTTTATATTAAATATGTTCAGGAATCATAATAAGGCCATTATCTATGGCACGCTTTGCAGATTGCATCCATTAATTCAAAGGAAAGAGGATATCACTTAGGAGTATTTCCTTTGTTGCTCAGGACCTTATTTTTGGCCTTAAGTGTTTTTTATAGGCCACATACCTAGTCTCAAAACAGATATGGACAAGGCTCAGTCAACAGTGAACTGCCTTCAGTACCAAAGAAGTACTCAGATTTCGTCAAGTTGTGTCTCTGAGAGCTGTGCGGCCCTGTTGTCCTTGATGAAAAGTACTCCCCTGTGACAAAGACATGTATGGTCCGTTTTCTTGGGGGACAGTGGAAAAGGGGTCTCTACATCCTGCTTCCCTGTTAGGTCTATCAGTCAGTGTTATTTGTGCAAACACTGTAATGCACCTTCTACTCTAAAAAATTCTACCCCAATAGCCAGGGCTCCACTAATTCTAAAAGTGTAAAATGATTTTGTGCAGCACTTGGCTGTGTACCACATGGGAATGTTATTTTCTGATGATAATAAAGGAGGAGACGACTCAGAAAACAAAGCGCAGTATCAAGGTGGCAACACCCCAAATGTATTTATTCACTTTTGTATTACGGATGAGAAAGGTTTTCCTTGCTACAAAGGTTTGTTAAAAACAAGTTGATGCAAATCAATACGTAGTAGCTACAACTATTATCTATTGTAAACAGAATAATAAGCAGAAAATAAAAACAGAAGCAACTACCTTGGTGTACACAGACATTCCATTGTTTTCTGTTATAGAACTGATATGAATGCCACCATTTTTATTTCTTTATTGTATTTTTCCTTGAGACACATTTTTTAAAATTGCACATTGCTTTGCACTTGTCTTACCAGTTCAGGTTTGTAGCATACCAAAGAATTACAGAAAACTGTTTTACTATCAAGGTGGGGGCCATGTGGTCATTTATATATTACAAATGAAAAAGAAACAAGGTACAAAACGTGTGTGTTTGTGAGTGTGTGTGAGAGAGAGAGAGAGAGAGAGAGAGAGAGAGAGAGAGAGCCTGTGAATACTGGCTGGTAGGAAAGGCTTTAAACTAGTGGTCATCGAAATCATATATAATACCTATTAAACACTCACTTTGCTAGCAGCATGTAAATCACTGGATTGGTTGTTCAAAGACCAGACAAACAGAATTCCTGGATACTGTTTCCATTTGGGTTCTCCAGTTCGTATGGTTCCAGCTGGCGGTACTCAAAAGTCACACGGTTTATGTGTTTTCCGCTGGAGACCATGCGCACCACCGTGTTGTCGCAGCCAATTTTCATTTGGGCTATCATTCATGGAAAAAGTAAAAGTTTCCCAGCAAGTTAGAAACCACACAGCAAAACCACTTCTGTCAATCAGATCATTTAAAAACTCAAAGAAAGTGAGAGCTTGTATCTTCTCATGGGCCCAAACCATGCCAGGAGGGGAAACGTTTTTGTTTTCATGTTTGTTAGAATACAGAATTAACTTCAGAATTGTGACCCTGATCTCAGCGCTTCTCTTCATGTGCAAGAACACCGTTAGCCAGACAAATCTGGCTGCAGAGAGGCAAGAGGATATCTCCTTGTGCTTTTCACATTCAACCTGCAAGGCTCTGGTGGTGGCAGGGGCCTCTCCACACTACCCTTCTCTCTAGTTCAGTGTTCTCAGCGGAGGCAGTACTGCCTTCCAGGGACAGGCTGGAAATTAGCAGGGGTAGTTTTTGGTTGTCATAACATCTGGGGGTGCAAGTGATATTTAATGGGCAGGTTGGAGGCTAAATTGTAATGCTAAACATTGATGTTGACCAAAAAGATCACCTGTTTATTATTTTCTGAGCCTAGATAATAGTTGTTTTACATACAAACAAAAATATTTTGCATGATTTAGATAGACCACACTAAATATATTCATTTTTTCCCATTGTCCACCTACATTTTTCTCATTTTTCCATTTCTCTCTCATTTTTTTCCTATGCTTCATAGAAGGAATGACTTTTGATATCCTTACTTCTCTTAAATCCAATCTTATCCATTATCTGTATAAGCATCTGACAATGTTTATATATCTTCTGGTACAGATGTGCCTGAGTGGTTATATATTGAAACTCATCATTTTTATTTAAAATTACTTCTATTTTACTCTTCCAGCCTCAGGCTGGCTCCTGAGACAGGATTTATCTGCCCTATAATAATCCTTTCTGTTGTTTTAATCTACTTAATCTCCCTCCACCCACTTTGCCTCTGAGAAGCACTAGCATTATTGCGTAACTGGTACTTGACAAACAGGTGCCTGATTTTAAATGAAATAAAATTGCCAGACAGAGTTACGTATTGAGATAAAAGTCAATTTGGAGACATTATCTTAATATAAGAACCAGGGAGTCTGCATTATGCTTCTACAAGGAGGTTCAAATTTAATTTTCCTTAAATGATTTGGAAGGTCATTCTTTTTCTGATCTTGCTCTGAACTTTAATCTACATAACATGCCCCATTTCCTTTAGTTCATGTGCATATTATTTATTTGACATAATTACTAGGAAAGTCCAATTGAAAGAGCAGGGTCCCTAATAGTTCTTCATTGTCTGAACAACTTAGGAAGGGCTCATGGAAACATGGTGAATGAAGGAAAAAAGTGAAGTTAAAATGAAATGAGTCACAGAATTCAAACCTTCAAATTATCGTAAGACTAGTTTCAATCATCTGGATAATTTAGACAAAAGTGTTTTTTTGGCATTAGTCTTACCATTTTACCTAATTCAAATCATATAATTCAAGCACCAAAATTACTCTGGCCTTAATGATCTAAATTATAAGATATGGGTGTTCAATGGTGTTTAATCTAATCCTCACACGCATCTCCCACCGGCATAGAAGGCTGCATTGCCTCAGGGAACACATGCAAAGGGCAAGAGAAGCAACTTGCACTGACAGTTTAAACCAGAGCTCAAGTGTAAATTAGCATTAAATAACCCCTGTGTTTTCAGCAAAGTGAGTTCTTAGAAACTCTTGCCTTTACCTTGATTATCTAGCTTGCCCCGGACCCAGTCCTGCCTTAAATCTCATCCGAAGCTCTTTTATACAGGAGTGAATGAGGGACGGTGGACACCACATGTTGGGCCTTAGTGGTTACCGATGCATGAGAGAGAGATTTCAGAGATGTTTTGTTTATTAAGGTCCCAGTATTAGCTCAGAGAGAAAAAATACTGGGGTGCAGACCTGGTTTTAATTAAAACAGGCAACAGCTGATCAAAAGATGTCTGATTTATAGCTTCATCATCTAGCTGGGCCCGATCTGTGGTTACAAGAAAGGAATGGGGCTATGATAAGAATTTGCCATGAGGTTAAAGACTGTTGCTGTTTCCCTCCTGTTTTACTTTTGTCTCTTTAAAGATAATCTCCAATTCCTTCCCAGTTTTACTTAGGGCCAACCTTAAACACGCATCCTTGTTACTTCATACGTTTCTCTTCCAGTGTCAGGTACTTTGGTAATGCATTCTTCATAGTGTACATAGTCTTAAGTGTAAAATCCTTACTTGTGCACTTAATGTGCAAAATTGAAGATTTTTGGTGGGACTTCCCATGTATAAGAAATGTTAGGTGTTTCACTTAAGGAAATAATCTTGATGGGCACATAAATAATGATCAAAGAAACATCTCACCAGGGCCTTGAAAGGGATAGCAGAGATCCGCTAAAGGCATCATCTTGGAAGGGTCCAATCCACTTCCTCCCAGTAGCTCCACAAAGTCTCCTTTCCCCCCACAGCCTGCTGCAGGTCTGAGAGAAT